GGTTGATCTGCAAGAAAAGGAGGGACTGCCAACTACCCAGGCCTCTTTTGCAGGAGTTGATAGACATTTTGGAAAGGGGACTTGTGAGGAGCAAGTTTTTTGCAGAGATTACATGCTTAAGTCCTGGGGGAGGAGACAGGAGAGCTAAGTACAATGAGAAATGGTATGGTTAATTGGTCTCTACCCCAGCCCACGGACCCTATGAGGAGAGAGGCAAGGATCCTGTTCTCTGGGAACACAGCACTCTTTGGGGAACCTAAAGAGTTTCACAGTTTGGGAACATCTAAGCAAGGCGGCATTCTCCTATAGGCACAGCAGCAACTAAAATAGTGGAAGCCTAACAGAAGCCTGGGAGGGGCACGCTGCGCCCAAGAGTGTGAGCTTGTTTGTAGATCAGTGAGGAACCCCTGGGACTTCCAAAAATATGTGAGAAGAGGACTTTCCAGGGGACTAAGATCCTGCGTGATATGATGGAATCTCAAGTCAGCAAAATTTGAGTGTAAACCTAATATGATTTTATCCATAAGAAAAGAGAGTTAATCCTTGAAATAGTTGGGTTGTATACGTAACAAGATTTGGCATTGAAGTATGAGCCCGGTAAATGGCTTTATCGTCATCCTAAGATCTCTCTCTATGGACTTCTAACCACACCTTACAATTGACCAGGCAGATGTTACAGAGCTTTGAAGAAGAGGTCACATGATTTCCTCTGTGTTAGTTAAAAGCAACAGTAATTGAGATTAAGCATTAAGCCCTGCTGTGGATAAAATAGTTCACTGACTTTCATGTGCCCTCACCTCACTCCCATCAAGAAGCAGAGGTGGCTTAGCAAAGTAAATTGCCCTGGGCCGCCTAGGTGCTCAGTGGGTTAAGCATCTGCCTTCGGCTCAGGTCATGATCCCAGGGTCCTGGGATCGAGCCCCGCATCGGGCTCCCTGCTCAAGCGGGGAGTCTGCTTCTTCCTCTCCCACTCGCCTTACTTGTGTTCCCTCGTGCTGTGTCTCTGTCAAATAAATAAACAAATCTTAAAAAAAAAAATAATGGAAAGTGGGGCTCTTGGGTGGCTCAGTGGGGTTAAGCGTCTGCCTTCGGCTCAGGTCATGATCTCAGGGTCCTGGGATCAAGTTCCACATCAGGCTCCCTGTTCAGTGGCGAATCTGCTTCTCCCTTTGTGTGCCGCTCCCCCTGCTTGTGCACGTGCTCTCTCTCTCTCTCTGGCAACTAAATCAATAAAATCTTTTAAAAAAATGTAAATTGCCCCAAGGTTACCCTTTATGCATCAAATTCTCAGGTAAATATTAATATATTTCGACTCACATTAGCATCATCTACATTTCATAGTATAAAGTTAAATTTTTTTGAAAAAAAATTCAGTATTTTAAAACTGCTTTTGTGCCACTCTAATATTTTGTCATCCAAGCTACCACTAACGACCAAAAAGGTGAACGTATATGAACTTTGTGGAGCAGGAATTGTCACCAAGCATGTATGTCAAGTGGGTTTTAAAAAGTCCATAAATTATAGTGCAAGGAAAGAAAAACAAACAGGATAGTCTCTTTTTGATTTTTCTTTTTCAAGGAAAATTTTGACTTGCTCATTTCCCTAGTTTTACCTGAGTAACGATGCTAACATTTAGCAAGGACTGGTCCCAGCCACCATTCCAACACTCGACATGAGTTAGAGTGGTGCCCTAAATGTACCCCTCAGAGGACGAGAGCTCGGCTTCCCAAGGAGTTATCTAAAGTCTGTCTAAGGAAGCATCTGCGTTTACGAAGTCCCATGTGGGATTCTCAGGCTTCAGGAGCAGCTGAGCTCCACCATCTGCAAAAACGTAGAAATCACAGAAGTTGCTTCGCTTCTCAAATTCCTTGTAGTTTACTAATTTTTAGCAGTAGAGTCATGACTTCTATGATGACAATCTACTGGGTGAGTGGAATGTTACCATTGTTTTCATTGATTTTTTTCTCTTCTCTTTTTTCTGTATTACAGGTTAAACTGCATAAACACTGAGCATCGGATGCGTGTTCCTCTGCTTCTGTTTTCATTGTATACGGGAGCTATAACCGTGACACGTGCTCAGGTCAAGAAGAAAACAGCCATATTATGGGGTGATTATGAAGAGAGAATTCCTTGCTAGGTTCTATTGTGATAGGTAATGTTAACCGCAGCTCTAACTGTACAAGTAATTGTAGTCAACTTAATGAAATTTGGTACTGTTTTAGCAAAATGTCAATTTTGGAGCTCAGTTTAGAACAGAGCACCTTTTTATCTACCTACAGAAATTAATGGTAATTATGCTTTTGACAAAGGCAAAATCAACCTCGGAGGTTTTATTCAGAAAAGAATTATTCTTTTAAGATAGGGGGAGACTAACTCATTTAATCCTTAAAACAACCCTAAGGCGTTAAATATTTTACTCTTTAAATATTTATTTAGCACTTACTACGTCCAGGCACTGTGTGTATATTAACTAAAATAGTCCTTTCAACAACTCTGGGTGGATGCCATCATCAACCCCATTTAATGACGAGGAAACTGGGACATAGGGAGATTAAGTAGTTTGGCCAAATTAAATTGATGCTAGTCTGTTTTATAGAACAACGAGCTGCCACGAGTATCTATGTATGATATTCCCAACACCTACCAATTACTGAGTGTTGGCATTTCCCATACAACCTCTCATTTAATTATTCCAAAAGCCCTGTACAGTAGCTATTCTTACCCTAATTTTAAATACAAGGAAACGGGTGCATACAAAAGAGAAAAAACCTGCCCTGAATCATGTGGCTAGTTAGGACAGTTGAAATCTGACTACGTACATCCAAGTCAATACCTATGCTTTTGTCCAGGTCAAGGGTTTAACGTGGTAGATTCACAGATGGCACGGAAGGATGGCATTTTCAAGCTTAACAAAAAGGAGCACGGATTTTTTTTTTAAGGCCACAAACATTTTAGCCTATTATACAGCTGCCAGTTTAGCAAGTAACAGAAATAAAGGGAACCGGTATCTTAGAAATTGGTCTCTACATTACAGCCAGTGGTACAATAACAACATAAAAGAGGACAAGGGGGGTTTCTAATGCTTTTTATGACTAGATATATAACATTTAAAAGTAATTCAAACTGAAAAGAAATTCATAGCTAAATGGAGGGCTAACGAAAGCCACCCTTCTGCCACCTTCCTCATGAGGCAGTGCGCATGTGCTTGACTGCTACGTACGCTGTGCCACAAATGACAGGTTTGTCATTCCCTGTAGCAGTAGTTTACTAAGGGAAATTATGAAACTCTTTCTCTGGAAGATTCCAAAAACAGTTTTTCATCTGGTTCAATGGTTGTCCTTTCTGAAATTAGGTGAATTGACTGGATAATCTTTTGGTTTCTCCTAGCCCTCATATAAGATGTAAGTATGCCACTAACACAAATCCTTTAAAAAAAAAAGTTATGGGGGTGGGTGCCCGGGTGGCTCAGTTGGTTAATCGGTCTGCCTTCGGCTCAGGTCATGATCCTGGGGTCCTGGGATCAAGTCCCACATTGGGCTCCCTACTCAGTGAGAAGCCTGCTTCTCCCTCTGCCTGCCCCTCCCCCTACTCGTGCTCTCTCACTCTCTCTGTCAAATAAATAATTAAAACAAAAAATAAAGTTGTGGAATGTTTGCTAAAATAATACTCAAGTAATTTAGTTACAGATAGGTAACAGTGAAAGCCGACATACTGTGCAAAATATTCTAAAGGACTCAGAATAGTACAGGTTTGAAATTTCTGGGAAGAAATTTTGTGTAATGAAGAAATTCTATAGTTAGAAATAATTTTATTCAAATGTACATACTTATAATTACCATCAAACTGTGTAAAATATATTCAAGGAATTAACTACAGCAGGTACCTTAAAGACAATCATAAAATATCACAAGAGCATGATGGTAGTCATAAGACCATGAGAGAAAATTCAACGTACATAGAAGACTTATACAGCTTCAGGTATTATTAAATAACATAATAATAATAGCAAGCAGCCTCTGGGTATTTCCTATGTACCACTACGGTAGCAAAAATATTCTCCTGAGTTATCTTATTTATCCTCATCAACCCTATAAAGTTAACATGTCAGTTCTCTTTTAGCAGGGAAGAAACTGACGCTCAGAGGGAGGCTATTTGTCCAAACTGAAACAGCTAATGAGTGACTGATCTATGTTGAAAGTTTAGACCCACCCAGTTCAACCCTAGAACCCAAGGTCTGTGCCATGCCTCCTCTGGGAACAAAACTTTTTCCTCCTCATCAGGAGTAAGGCAGATTTTTAAGATGCTAATATGAAGTCAAATGACCAAGGAGGAAGAGAAGCAAAAGTCTTCGATAATAGTCAAACTGAACAACCCTTGAATCTTTGTGACCTCACTTGGGTCCTTTGAGGGTGTCCTCCAATTCTTGGGGATTAATGGGCTACATGATTTGCAGCTGATTTCTCCCAGCTCCCTTTGGGCTCTCCTACCTATCATGGGGGCGGTCCACAAGTCTAGACAAGTAGACTTTAAAACTACTCACATCACTACACATTCTACTTGTTTTGTTACTCATGTACATGGCCACTTCAGAACTTCCTAGAATAGTCTGGTACACTAAATATCAGTCATGATTTTCAGCTCCTAGAAACCCACTGTGTGTGATTCTGGCCTGAAGTAAGAATTTAGACATGTGGTCACTCTTGCTTACATTTTCTCTGGAAACTCAGAGAATATAGAATCAAAGAAAACATTTTAAGGTACATAAGCTTTTTCCGTTCTCATCAGCCTTCTCTGCTTGTGACTGATGAGAAGGAACTCTCCTACCAGCTACCATGCCAGGGTATAAGAACAGAAAGAAGTGTAAATCAGTAACATGTAACAGGTATCTTGTAAATACTGCCTGGGGCCTGACCTTTGCCGGCCATATCTAACATTCTTCCACTTTTCAAGCACGGTTCACAAACGAGGCCGAGGGCAGCACAAAAGAATTACTGAAAATATAAGCATTCAAGTGACTTTTAATATTAAAATACTTTACGAAATGGTATATAAAATCATTGCATAGGATAAATTTCCTTAGCCTCTGCTTTTAAAAGTTTTCAACAACACATCTGCTGCTAGTCCTGGGGACAGGGCCCCACTGAGAACCTTTTCTTCCAGAACAGGAATCTGTTCCTGGACAGTGGGATGGGTCCTGAAATGTTCTAACACGCTTTCCTGAATGAGATTCCACATCCAAACTTTCTGCTGCCTCTGCCGCTTGGCCATCAGCTCCCCACTGGCGAGCATGAGGTCCTGGAACTCTCTCATCTTATCCCACATTTCAGTGATGCCCTCTCCACTTCTGGCGGAGAGACGAATTACCTATTGAAAAGGGAAGAACCAAAACTGTTTTACTTAAAATGACAGGAAACATCTTCATAGGGACTCTGATATTTGCCGATTAAGTCTTACAGTCTATGAAAATAGGTAAGTGAAAACGGAGACATTTTATCACTGTGTCGAAGTAAACTGTACCCAGAAATAGACTGAGGTCACTTACTACGATCACTAACTCTGTGCAGAAACAAGACACTGATTTCAGGTCAAGATTTTTAGCCCAGAGGTTTATTTTGACGTAGGATTGCTCAGATGGTCCTCAGAGGCCACGTGGAGGAGCTGCGAGAGGGTCATGAGGATGAGAAGGGCAATACTGGGTAGGTTTCCCTGAGGCCTGAGTGCTAGGAAACGAAACGAAACTACGTTGACAAAATAGCCCCATTCCCTGTGTCACAGCCCCCTGATTCATCAAGCGCTAGGAGCCGAGCACCCAGCCCCTGCCCGGAGCAGACAAGGTGACTGCTGGAGCCCGGGAGCGGGCAATAAGGGTAAGGGAGGTCACCGCTGCTCTCATTCGAGTGATTACAGCCTGCTCTTTAATAACTGAGTGGCCTCCTGCACAGAAGGCTGCCCACATCAACAGCGGTGTACCGTTTATTACAGAACTTCTCTTTGTTTTCTCCTTTTTGAAAACAGCGCCCAACAAGCATAATGGGAAGGGAAGCGATCACACCAAAAGCTTCTCTCCTACTCAAACTCTAAGATAGAGAATCAAATCACTAATTGCTCCATAATCTTAAGAATCGTTCCTTTCAGGATAGATTTGCTATCACTTCCGAATGGCTCAAGTCAAGCGTTAAGCAAACTAATCTATGCCCTCGCATCTGGTTTCTGACATCTCGTGCTTGAAGGATTATATTTAAAATCATGACTACCGGGGCACCTGGGTGGCTCAGATGGTTAAGCGTCTGCCTTTGGCTCAGGTCATGATCGCAGGGTCCTGGGATCGAGCCCCACATCGGGCTCCCTGCTCGGCGGGAAGCCTGCTTCTCCCTCTCCCTCTGCCTCTCTCCCTGCTCCTGCTTTCTCTTCTCTCTGTATCTCTGTGTCTCAAATGAATAAATAAAAGCCTTTAAAAAATGAAATAAAAAAATAAAATCATGACTACCTGCTCTGGCTTTGCCATAATGTTTTAAAATTGTGATCTCACATCCAAGCAAAGATTGATTCTAAGTCTACCTTGGGACTCGCACCCTCTCTTCTAATGCGCGCAGTCCACTCAGGGTGGGAAATGCAGAACGGAACGCAAGCTGACCTTTGATCTCCAGACTTCTGAGCGTTTGCGGAGTAACTTCAGTGCACTCACATACTCAGCCTGTATCCTTCGAGCAGGCACAACCAAGTCTCCGTCAGATTTCGTTATAGCCACCAGGTCTGCCATCTCAATGATACCTCTTTTGATACCCTGAAGTGAAAAAGACAGCGATGTATCAGAAACACTTCACTTAATTATAGCAAAAAAAAAAAAAAAAAAAGGGACACCAGTCAATGCTAAGATTTTGAGAGACACACACTTCATTAACTAACTTTTCCTCTGCACCCTCCCAAGCCCTGGGGACTAGGAACCACAATTACTCAATAAAAATTATTCAAAAGCACCAGTTGTTGGGATTATGGACGTCATCTATAAGATCTCTTCCAAATTTAGAGGCTAACATGAGAAAATACATTCACAATTAGAGGAAATACATCATCAGGACACAACATGAATGAGTGGCAGGGGACAAGTCCAGTTGTCTCATGATGGATTCTGTCTCTCCTGAGCTAATGCTACAGGATGCAAAACCGTCCATCATTAAGTGCTTAAAGAGAAAAGACACCTACCGCTAACATCTGCATTTCCATAAACAAAGTCTTTGAAGTTTTCCTCAAGGTTTATAATTTTTTTTTCCAATTTGCATTTGAGGAAAAATAACCTGATAGCTAAAAATGCCCCAATCTCGGTCCTACAAACACCCACACCACAGTGGTCTCTTTTGGCTGGAGCTGTCCCTGTGCCCCGTTCGCTCCCCATGCTGCAGGTGGAAAAATCTAAGTTGTAGGATTAGCTCAAGGTCATAAATTCTATTACTGTAACTTAGGAAAAAACAGAGAATGTGTCTTTGACTCAGGTATTTTAGCCAATATGAATGATATTTCTTTTCTTTTCTTTGAGAGAGACAGAGAGGGCATGCATGTGTACTAGTAGGGGGAGGAGCAGAGGGAGAGGGAGAAGCAAACTTCCGGCTGAGCAGGGAGCCCGATGCAGGGCTCAAGCCCAGGACCCTGAGATCACGACTAGAGCTGAAGGCAGATGCTTAACCGACTGAGCCACCCAGGCGCCCCTGAAATGCTACTTCTTTTACCTACATTAATAGCAACTTAATTTACAGAATACAACACTGGAAATGTGTACTTTCAGTGATGTATACTTTGTGTTTGGGGAGAAAAAAAGTCAACATAATCACCTGCAATTCATCTCCTCCTGCTGGTGGCAGTAGTAAAACAAACATGTCAACCATATCCGCAACGGCAAACTCCGACTGGCCCACACCTGAAATTGTAAACTATTCATAGTGATGAGACTTTCTCAACTACCTTGACCACCATTTCATTTGCTCATACTCACGCTCACACGCTCAAGCTGATCCCACCTTAAACACCCCACCTCTGAAGAATCTATTAAATGCACTGCCTTGCGTATGAGCACACCTGTGACCCTCCCCACACCTCTCTCCCTCGCTTATTCCCAGTAGCCTTCATGGCGGCTAAAGGGAGAACCTCGAGATGTCCAGGGAGTAGCTTGAATAGTGTGGTTCTAATCCTCGACCATGCCTGTCAAGACTTTCAGCTTTCTGGCCTTCTCAGCCTCCGGGGAGCCCTGCAAACCCGCACCGATGGGTCAGTCCGACTACCCGTGGTCTCTCCTCTGTAAGCGTGCCCGAGACCCGGCTCAGGAACAGGCACCACCACAGGGTCGCGGAATCTGCCATCCGCTACCCCCGCTGCACCGCCCAGTAAAAGCAATGCCCCTAAGCCCCCTCAGTCAGCTGCTTTTCCATTCGTCGCCGTGGCTATTACAAACACTCACTGTGCCATGACCTCCCCCACGACGACGACCCCGGTACCTACTTGGCAGAGCTCCCTCAGCGTCCCCCTCAGCCCCTCCACAGATAAGCAGGTCCAAATACCAGCCCTGCTCACTGCCTCCTCTGCAGCCTCTTTCTTTCCCGTTCCCTCTGGGCCCTTGTTCTGCTTTATCTTTAACCTCTCCTTAGTCTACCGGCTCCTGTTGCCCGGCACCTCACAGGAACCGTGCTCTTGCCTTTCTCATCTGAAAACTAAACAAAGCAAGAAAAAAATAAGACAAAAACTCACAACTTCCTCCAATTACCACCATATTTCTCACTTTCTTTTTAGAACTAAGTGTCTAGAAAAACAATCAATGTACGCTCATTTGTCTTCACTTCATTACTTCAATGTCAATCCACTTAAATCTGACTTCCACATCACCCGCTCCACTGAAACTCCTCTCAAGATTCTGTCCTTCATTGGGGTGTCAGAGACTTTTAGTTGTCCATTCCGTATTTATTCTTCCCCATTTCCCTACCCCAATGTTGTCAGGAGCACTGACGTACCAGCTGGAAGCCCACAGTCACCAGACCCAATTTCCACCAGAGATGATCAATGAGTGAAAGCAAAAGCCACCAGATGGGGTCTCCAGTAAGATTCTTCAAAGGGGACTAACCCAGCCAGGAGGTACACCTCTTCTGCCTACCCCTTTCCCCTCCTTCCATACTCTCTCTCTTCCCTCCTCCTCCGGCCTGAAATGTGGATGTGATGGTTAGAGCTTCATCAGCCGTCTTTCACCCACGAGCAACCCTGAGGAGGGAAACTAAGTGCTAAGAATGGAGAGCGGAGACAGAAGCCTGGGACACTGAGGGCACTGTGGAACCACCAGGCCTGCTCGGGACTGCCTGCCTCTGGGCTTCTCCCGTTTATGAGAAAGTAAACCACTTTCTGTTTGAGTCACAATTTTCGAGTCTCTGGGACAAGCAGTCAAATGCAACCTCCAGCCAGTGCACTTGGTTTTCATGGTCCTCTTCTCCCTTGACTTCTCCTACTACCACACGGGCAACCCTTCCTCCATCCATCCCTACAGGGTGGAGTTTCTGATTTCAGGCCCCATCTCTCTTCACCCCCTATGTGCCTCCACATTTTATGGGCTAAGTATCCTGAACAAACCGCAGTTCTGTAAATGGGCCATGTGCTCTCACTCTCTTTATTTCACTCCCAATTCCTCCTTCAACACTGAGCTCAACTGTCACCTCCTCCCAGAAGTCTTCCCTGATCCCTCAAACCTGAGTCAGGTTGTGTCACAAACATTTATCATTCAGTAACAGTATGTTTGTCTCTCCACAGGCCTCGAATTTCTTGGGGTTTCCATGTCAGTATTTTCATTGTGTATAGCTGTGTACTAAGGATATACAGATGAAATAAAACATGGCCCTGTATTAAAGAGGTACCCAACTACATGAATTTTCTTAGTAAATATTATAGACATGTGAAATGTGCTTAAACACAACAGGTGTTAAGTTAATGTGTTGTTTCCAATGCTTACAGTTCTCCTCTGGCATTTACAACATACCACTCTTGTATAACAGTTCTCCAGATACACGGCTTTTCTTTAAAGGTCAGGATTAGAGCCTGTATTTTCATTATCTCCTACAGAACGCGAGATATCTTGTATTTAATTACATCTTTCAAAAATATATGCTGAATGAACAAAATGATACTAGTTGTCACTCATCTTTTTACGGCATTCGTTATAATAGTATTTTATTGTTATGAAATAGAAAATCACACTCACCTACGGTTTCAATAAGAATGATGTCATATCCCCCTCCTTCACACAACAGAATAGCTTCATTTGTGGTCCTTGTCACACCTCCTAAAGTACCGCTGGTAGGAGATGGCCTGATGTATGCATTCATATCTCTTGATAACTCCGTCATTCGGGTTTTATCACCTAAGAGTGATCCTAAAACACAGAGTTAAGATTTTCTAATCATGGAACACCTATAAGCGCCAATTATCAATCAGCTAATTCCCAGGTGAAGTGCTTTATGACATTTCTCCCCAAATCTCAAAATGATTTCATATTATTGAGCTTTAGTGCAACACAGCATGTATGATGCCAAATTAATCGTTTTAACATTTCAAGCCCTTCAAAATTTATAAGGGCTTTCCACTGACTAGACGTTCAAATCTAGATTCTTCAGCCTAGCACTAAAGGCCCTCAGAATGCAGCCCTGCCTTACCTGCCCATTTTCAGCTTCCACTAGTCCCCAAATCAATCTTCCATTCCAGCCAAGATGGGTTCTTTACTGTCATCTTAACATGGTTGTCTTTATGGTTTTCAAATGGGGATGAGTTTGCCCCCAGAGGAAATCTGGCAATGTCTAGAGAGATTTTTACTTGTCACAACTGGGGGTAGGATGCTACTGGCATCTGGTGGGTAGAGGCCAAGGATACTGTTAAGCATCCTTCAATGTCAGGAAGCTGCCCAAAACAAAGAATGTCATTAGTGCCAAGGTTGAGAAACTGCTTTAATATAAGGTCTTTGCCCATGGGACCATGTCTTACATATTCTGTAATGAGTGTTTATGCACAGTAGGCAATTAATTAATTAATTAATTATTTAAAAAAGATTTTATTTATTCATCTGAGAGAGAGAGAAAGAGAGAGCATGAGCGGGGGAGGGGCAGAGGGAGAAGCAGGCTTCCTGCCGAGCAGGGAGCCCGATGCGGGGCTCGATCCCAGGACCCTGAGATCATGACCTGAGCCGAAGGCAGACGCTTAACCGACTGAGCCACCCAGGTACCCCTAGAGTTCTCACAGGTTCTAATTCTAGAGCAGACACCTACCACATATCTCAACTACCTTATTTATTGCACACAAAACTTTTTTCTAAAGTGATTTTCTGCATGAAATCCTCTCTGTGTAAGTCAACAAGCTGCCAAAGCCGTACTTTAAATTATTATCACATAGATCCTAACACACTGAATTAAACATTATGAAATTACTCTCCCGTCTGTCTTAGCAGTGAGTCCAAAACTGTCAGTTGCAGACCCTTAGGGAGGTCTCCAAGCTACTGCAGGGGGTCTGTGAATCCAAAGCACAAGGACTGAACTACAGGGCAATAAAGTAATGCTTTTCAACTTTAGCATCTTGCTGCTTTTCAAATGTATGGTACTGTAGCAGTAATAAAGTAGAAATGGAAACTTACAGTTAATCCTCACGTATTTTTTCTTTCAAAGTCTACATATATTTTTTTTTTTTTACCTGAGAAAGGGACCTTCATTTTTAGTGTAAGAATTAAGAATCACACGGCTATGCAACTTTAATCAGGCTGTCTTGTCGCTGTATCTGCTATTACTATCTCAAGCTATTATTTTCTTTTGCTATTGCAAGTATTCTAGAATATTGCAAAGGTAAGAGAAAAAAGGCCTTCTCCCCTGTATGAAAATGAGAGCCACTATAAAAAAATTCTTTGTTCAAGTCCTTACCTTTAACAAAGAAAGTTCTTAGAATGTAAATAAGACGATACATTGACATGGCTTTAATCTTGAACCTTGTGAGTATAATTTTATTTTATGGTTAACATTTTTATTATTGTGACTCAAAAACTGTGCATGTTCTCAGCTACAGTTCTCAATGGGTGGTAACAGGAATTGTTGTCCACCTCTCTACTGACCTAAAGCCCTTGAAATATGATTATATCATCTCTATTTTTTTTAGCACGAAACTCACAGTATGCAAACCAAACACTTCCACAAAGCGCCCTGTATTTTCCCCTCACAACACACGTTACATTGTAATGGCCTGTGTTCACATGTCTGTTTCCCTCATTTGATATAAAGCTCCATAAGGCCAAGACGACTGTGTCTCAGTCACCATTACATGACACAGTGCCTTCCTTGTACAATGCCTCACCTATATCAGACATTCGAATACTTGTTAAATGAATAACTGCAATGTGAGAGGGGTAGGGGGAAGAAAAAACTTTCCTGAGTATTTATATGGAATGCTTTATGTTTTCCTTAAATGATCCTTTGGGGAAACAAAGTTTATTCATTTTCTCTCTGAGCTGCAAATTAAACTAAACTCGGAGTGACTGTGTGCCCTCAAACCAGTAGTAGTTGCTGAGCCTGAGATGTGATACACCACACTAAGTGCTGTAGGGAGAAGAGCGGTGTATTACACGGTCGGTCCCTCTAAGAGATTTCTGTTTCACTGAACATGTAATATGAACCGGTGACAAGTTAGAAAGAGCAGTAAGATTTTCTTTTAAGCTTAAGAGATGTTACAACAATATAAGAAAAAAGCGAACGAGGGATGGACCCATTTTCTGAACTGTGTAGGGGCTGATACAGCCAAGGAAAAAACAGGAGGGAAGAGGGCCTAGTGTCAGCTTTGATAGACAAAGAGCTGAAAGTTGCTTTTGATTATCTTCAACTTCTGGCACCCATTTTCCTAGTTCTCTAAGTACCCAAACTCGTCCTGGACTACCCACAAGCTAAGGAGCCCAAGGCCCCAAACCACCTCCCTCCATTGCCACCTCCCCGCCCCCAAAACTCCCTTCTTTCAGTGAGATCAAACTCAGAGAGAGATTAGAAGTCACCAGACTGTGCAAATTCCCATTAAATTATAAGAGAGCCCTATGAGCCCCTGCTCTGCAATTTAAAAAAAAAAAGTCAGCGATACTCACCACCACTAGTACAAGAAGAAGGGTCCACAGCTAGCACAGATAATTTGTGCCCTCTCTCAGTAAGCATTTTTCCAAAATACTCTATAAAGGTTGATTTTCCAGCACCAGGGGGCCCAGATAATCCTACAGTAGAGAGAGACCTTCTAATTTAATGAAAGAAATGAGAGCAGCACAATGATAAGTTCTATTCAAATATTAGATTTATCTTCTATTTCTCCTCATGTATTAAAACCATCGTTAATATATTTTAACATTTCCTAAAGTAAACAAAAAACCATTTATTTATCTAGTTCCTGAGCAATAGGGACATGGGAAGAAAACAATTCTGAGTTCCCTATGTTCTCCAAATTCACTTTGTAAAATTACAAAATATGATCGGCCCTTTTACTATAACATAGATCTTTCTGGAAAGACTTCATTGCCTATACTGTTAATGTGCTGAGTTTCCACAACATCTGCCCACCTCTCACCATGATCAGTAATTATCCCACCTACCCCAATGCTGGACACTTTGCTCTTCCCACCAGAAAAACAACTCAGTACTCTGGAAATTCCCAGGGATTGAGAAAATAATTTTCTATTTATGAAAGGTAATTTTTTTTCATCCTACCTGTAACTCAAAATATAGGATTTAAACTGAACCCTGAAAAAATTAGCTTGTCTTAAGAAAGGCAGAAAATTCCCCTGCTTGGAGAGTTCACAGAGCATGGCAGATAAGAGCACGCACTCTGGAGCCAAGTGGCCGGTTCTGGTTCCAGCTCTGCCTCTTATGAGCTGTACAGTCGTGGTGAGGTTACTCAACCGTTCTGTACCTGAGTATACTCTGCAATAAAATGCATGCGATAGCACCTATCTCTTCAGGTTGTTGTAAGAACTAGAGGAGGTGATATTTGCAATGTTTAGAACAGCACCTGGCACAAAGTATATAACACTGAAGCATTTAATTGTAATTACATTCAAAAGTATGCGTAGGTCATACGGCATGCTTGGCTCCTTACTGCAATTTTCAGGGCAGGTCTCTGTCTTAAACATCGGTATGCCGAATAAACATTCGTTACTTGTAGTTATGATGGTGATAAAATAGCTACCATAAAGACACAGGTTTATCTGGCCTCATAACACCAAGATGAAAGAACCAGAATAGCAATGAAAATTTGTGAGTTACTAGCTACGAGTGAGTTGCTGGTTAACTCTGTATATTTCTGGGATGTTTTCTCTTCAAACAGTGTTTAGGCGTAATAAGTAAACACTCTGTCATAACAGGAATTTCTCTTTGGGAGTCTACTATTTTGTCTGTCTACAATACATAAAGATTATTAACAGTCAACGTAGTACTCTCAAAACGAGAGTTCCTTCAGTGAAGGAAGAAGCCTAGGATGCCTGAACAATGCAGACTAGTACCAATATCGGGTTGGTGAACTCTTTTTGAAATAATCTTTAAAGATTCATACCCTGTTACCATAAAATTAGAAGGTTTTAATCCCATATCATTAAACTGAGATTTAAGTCTAATATAATGCCAGTCAATTTTTAAGTATTTACTCAATCCTCACAAAATTTCGGCACTTTGTCCACCATTTCAAGTTTTAGTGGGAAAGTTGGTTGGAATCACCTACTTTGTCATCATGAAGAGCTCTCATCCCACCTAAACATATCTAAACTGTTTAAAAATGCACAATTAAGAAAATATAGCAAGCTTATTTGCAATTGCGGAACCTAGTCAATTGTTCAAGAAATCAAGTGACTTTCTAATATTTTTAGACAGCAAATGAACATGGTCTCTCCTTTAAAACACATTTTTGTATTGAGATGGCTGCGCTTAAAGCCAAGGAACTCCCAGAAACTCTAACAAAAAGTACCTGAAAGAAGAGAGACTTGCCCTAGAAAGACTAATGAAACACCTAAGAAGTAGAATGTTGAAATGTGATATTTAGAGTTGATATAAATACAAAAACAAGGCATTCACTTCAGACTCTCAAGCAGAAGGACTACCAAGAGAAAGGAGTAAACCAGTTAACAGTTCTTCATATGCATATTCTATTCTGGGAGCCGCAGGTTCTTGCCAAAATAGAAATCTTGTATTATTCTCTTAAAATACAGAGACTTGGTTCAAATGACCATGACATTTCCCCCCCCAACATAACAAGACCAATATTTGCAAAAAAAAAGAGGGGGGGGAGGGGGATTAAAATCCAGCCCCAAATTCTGAAAAGAAAAAAAGAATTCCCATTAGATTACAAACTATGTAGACTTATTTTAAAACAGAAAATTTAGAAAAATATTTGCTGAACAGACTGAAAGGAAAAAAAAAAAAAGACTGACCCACTCGAAATGCTAGTGGTTTTCCTTTATTTATTTGTTCTTGTTCTCTGTGGTAGACTAATACTTTTTGAAGAAGCACCTGGGCTAACTCTTTTTTCCTCTTGTGTGTTGATTCTATAAGAGTTATGGCCTCTGCTAAGCAGGCCCTGTGCCCTTGGATTAAACCGGTATAAAGTTTATCCACAAATCTTTGTTCTTTATCAGAAAGTTCTTCTGTGTGTTCCTTTAAGGTTGTTTGTACACATAATTTTCTCTTTAAACCATTTGACAACAACATCCATTTTGTACAATGGAGTCCAAGAGAATTAAATGGCCGAGCACAAGGGATTCCTGATCCGAGATGAGTACTTGAGTGAAAGATGAAGTGGTAACGACGGAAAGGTGTTCTTAAAAGGCCTTTTAGGAAACGTCGGTGAGAATGTTGCAGTAGCATGGGAATATTCATTTTGTTTGTAACTGCAGAAAACACTGGCTGCTTTTTGGCTCAATGTGATTTGTGACTCCCTAGAAGAAAGAAAAACGTATTTTTGCCAGTTCAATATACAATTAAGATACTGAAGTTAGTAAAACTGCAAGCTTAGTGTTTCCCCTATATTCTAAAAACACACATAATCAGGCTTCTTGGCTGTACAAATGGGTGAAAGTTTCTTACCAAACCGAAGAGAGAAGATCCCCCCTTGCCTACAGTTAATATTCAGAGTAGCCCAAATGATGGATTATTGCTCTACTGTAAAATAGAATGTACATTAAAATTTTCTTCCAGGGGCGCCTGGGTGGCTCAGTCGTTAAGCGTCTGCCTTCAGCTCAGGTCATGATCCCAGGGTCTTGGGATGGAGCCCTCCATCGGGCTCCCTGCTGGGCGGGAAGCCTGCTTCTCCCTCTCCCACTCCCCTTGCTTGTGTTCCCTCTCTCGCTGTGTCTCTCTTTGTCAAATAAATAAATAAAATCTTTTAAAAAAATAAAAAATAAAATTTTCTTCTAAACAAAAAGTAAATATACAAAAACCCTGTTAGGGTAGAAATTTTATGTCATGCTTATTTTCTTGTCTACAGACTACAATTTCCTCAGATCAAACAGATCAAACAGACCTTATTTTAAGGCTCATTCAAAAGGTAAACAAAACAAAACAAAAAAAAAAACACCAAACTTCTGATGCTAGCCTTTTATTCTTTCTCTACCAAAAAAAAAAAAAAGTGATTAATAGTGTAGGCACTTGAGGCATAAGTTTAGATAAATGTATGTCTTCAATGGGCTCACCCTGGAACACACATATATGTAAAGAATGGCCTAACATAAGCACACCATTAGCATCACCACCACCAACGCCACCACCCTGGGCCTTCATGTGAAATGAACGGTGAGGTTTGTATGGTAACTAGATCAATGTATTTCCAAGTAGGACCCAAAATGCCTGGTACTTAACTAAAAATGCATATTCCCAGCCCCACGCATCAGAATCTCTGTGGGTTAATAAGCACACTGAAGTCTGAACCACTATGGAATTAGATGAGGATGCTTTACTTAGATTTACTGATAATCTCCATTTCAAACTGTATTCAACAATGAAAGCTGACACAGTACATGGAGAGTCAGAAAAGTACAGAGGGTATGAGCCAAGAGACTCTTCACTTTGAGTCTCTGCCATGTCAGCTATCGTGATATTGACCACTCCGTGCCTCAGCATCATCTTTGAGTTAAGAGAACAGGTAAAGAGAATAGGATGGCTGTGAGAATGAATTCAGTTAATTCATGTAAAGAGCCTCATGTAAAAAGCCTGGAACAGTGCCTAGCATAGAGCAAGAGCTCAATAAACATTAGCTTTTATTATTATACTAATTTTTAAAACATTAGTAAAAATTAGGTCATAGACCTAGCTTCCCGTGGCAAACCAAAATTTACACACAAATGATACATAGGGCCTACCAAATTTGGCTTTATGATTATTTGAAAATTTTGCTTTTCAACTACCTCATAGCAGAATGAAATAAATTACTTTATTGCTCCAAAGTACCTCTCTAAATTGTATTTCAAGGCCAATTAGCACGAAATTAATTTTACTAAATAACATTCTAATGGGAAAAAGAAGACATATTTTAAGTTTTTTTTTATTGTTAGAACTGTAACTGCTCATTTTTCTGTTTTGGGGGGAACAGGGGGCATTATGACTTCTATTTTGACAAAATTCATCTTATTCTAAAAGGAAAATTTATGGAAAACCGTGTAAAAATGGTTCTAAAAGAACAATTTAAAACATCCACTACGACCCCTCACACAGACATACAAAAAGACATTTAAAACAACACAGTTAAGAGGGGATCTATTTTGGAAGCTCTCTTTAAGCACACTTCTTGACAATGCCATGGACAACACACTGGAAGCTCATGGGGAAGAACTGTATTTTTACTCAACCAGTCACTATTTTCTGAGCATATACTGCTCTTCAGGTCCCATCCTAGGTTTAAGAATCACAGTGATGACAGTGTTACTGTTGGTGATGACAATGATGTTTACTACGTTCCAGTCATTCTGCTATGACCTTCTGTATTAGTTTCCTAGGGCTGCTGTGACAAATTACGACAAACTGGGGGTGCTTAAAACAACAGATCTATTCTCTCACTGTTCTGGAGGCTGGAAGTCAGAAATCCAAGTGTTAGCAGGCCTGCACCCCCTCTGAAGGCTCTAGGGGAAGCCTCTTCCCTGTTCCCCCAGCGCCTAGTGGCCCTGGGTGCTACACAAGTGCAATCTCTGCCCCTGGCTTTCCATGGCCTTCTCTTCTCTTTGTGTCTCTCCTCTGTGTGGAGATTTGTCCCTGAATTGGCTCCACTCAGATAATCCAAGATGATCTCATCTCAAACTCTTTAATTTAGGGGCGCCTGGGTGGCTCAGTCAGGTTAAGTGTCTGACTCTTGGTTTTGGCTCAGGTCATGATCTCAGGGTCGTGAGACTGAGCCCCAAGTCGGGCTCCGCACTGGACGTGAAGCCTAAGATCCTCCCTCCTCTCCTTCTGCCCCCGCCCCTCCGCTCACACACTGCGTCTCTTAAAAAAAAAAAAAAAAAAAAAAAGATCCTTAAGGGCATCTGTCATCTGCAAAAACCCCTTTTTCCAAATAAAAGTCACATTCACAAGTTCTAGGGATTAGGACATGGGTATATCTTTTTGAAGGCCACCACTCAATCCACTACACCTTCTTAGGTGGACTATCACATTATATTACCCTAAATGACATAATCCCAGCACTTCAAAAGCCCACAGAATAATAAACACTATGTCCAAAAAAAACCCACAAAGTGCTGTGGGAACAGACAAAATTATAGAAACTAACTCTCCTTGGGGAGTAGAAGGTTCAAGTCATGGAGGGGTCAGTGTCAAGGCTGGGTCTGAAAGGATACAAAAAAACAAAACTGGAAGAGGCAGGCCTTCCAGGCTGAGGACTTAAATGTACAGAGTCACAGGTGGTCTCTTCTCTGCCATATCAGAGAAGACTGAGCAATTCAGTGAGACAGAAGCCTGGTGCCTACAGGGAACTAGTGATAGGAAATGAAGCTGGACCAGGATGTAAACTGAGGCTCCTTGTTGGCAGTGGAGAAATGACAGAGATCTTTACAGAGATTAGTGACATAATCAACTTGGGTTTTTAGGGAGATAACACCAGGAGCAGTGGTGAGAAGTCCGGAGGAATCAGACCCTGGTAACATAAAGCCCAGCTTAGGAAACCCTAGCAAAGACCCAAAAGAGATGATGAGGACCTGGACTTTGGCAGGGCATTAAGGGAAAGAGAAGTCACATTCAAGACCTTGTTGCCCACATTAGAATCCTCAAAGCTCACGATGGAGGCTGGCACATTGCAATTGTTGAAAAAACACAAAAAAAGGCTGATCTGAACCTAATTTCATTTCCCACCAGCCTGTCACTCAAGAGTTTATAAACCATTTCCAAATACTTCATCTCACTTTACTCTCCCAATTTTATGATGACATTATTATTTATTCTCATGTAACAAGGGAGGGAAAACAAGAGTGAGTTAGGTAACTAATGTCATAGCCAATGAGAGGGCCAGGACTCAAACCCAGGTCTTTTGACTCTCTATGGCATTTTTTCTTAATAAATTATTTCAGGATCAAGAAGAAGTCCTTTGGCTAAAAGGTAAAGAGATATTAGTAACCCTGCCCCTTCCAAAGCAAGTAAAAAGCATTTTTAAAAAGTGTGCAGTGAGGGTGCCTGGGTGGCTCAGTTGGTTGTCTGACTCCTGGTTTCAGCCCAGGTCATGATCTCATGAGTCATGGGATCAAGCTCAGCGGGGAGTTTGCTTGAGATTTTCTCCCTCTGCCCCTCCCCCAACTCTCTCTCTAAAATAAATAACCTTTTAAAATAAAAAAAAAAAAAAGTGTGCAGCGATAGTGATGGCATTAGGAAGAGCCAAAGACCAGAGGAAGAGGAGATGCTGACAAAGATACAAACCATTCTTACCACCGAACCAAGTCCTATCCTTCCATAGGAGAGATGCTATCTATGTAGTCCAAGAAAAAATTATAACGATCTAAAATATGCCCTTTAATTAACAAATCTTACCATGACTACCTCTTGTTACCCAACAAAGCTATGATCAAAAAAGAGAAAGTAGTATGTTGAGAGAGAGAGAGAGAAACAAGATTACAAAGCATTCATTCAACAAAGATTTGACCATTTACCATGGGTCATGCAAGAGTCTAGCACTGGGGATACAACAATGATCAAAATAGAACAAAGTTCTTGACCTCATAAAGCCAACATTCTAGTAAGGGAAGACAGACTATAGACGTATAAATAAGGAGGCCAGTGTGGCTAGATGTGAATAAGCAAGAGAAAAAGTATAAGAGAGAAGGTTAAAGAGGGGGTCAGATATACAGCCATAGATATGACTGAAGAACTTTTGACTGTGAATGAGAAGGGAAGCAGTAAGACCAAGAAGAACCTGATTTGATTTCTGTTCTAAAAGGATCTGATGGGGATGCAAGAACAGAAATGGGAAGACCAGCTAAGAGATTAATGTAATACTGCACATGAGAACTGATGAGGACATGTACCACATGGGGATGGTGTTAAATCAGATTCTGGATGAATTCTAAAGGACCTGCTAATAAATGAGATGTGGGATGGAAGAGAAAGAGAACAGTCAAGGATTCAGCACAGGTTTTACTCCGAGCCACAGCAAAGATGGAGTTGCCCTTTAATGAGCTGAGGAAGACTGCAGGAAGTCAAATTTCAGGTAAGATCAGGCATGTTTAGTTTCCGATACCTTAAGTTTGAGATGCCTACCAAATATCCCGGTGGGATCCTGAGTGGGCAGTTGCATTACTAACATAAGGAAGAGGTCACAGCTTCCGTGTAAATTTGAGAATCATTAAGTATTTAGGTGTTAATTAAATCCATGAGACCAAATGAGATTAGCAGAAGAATGGCTGGAGATAAAGAGGTGTTATATCATTTTTCATAAAATTTTACACACACACACACAAACAGAAATACATATGTCAGAATGTTAACTTCGTCTATAGGTAAGTGGTATTACAGTGCTTACATGTTGTTTATTGGCTAATCATATTTTTCTGTTGAAAAACAGAATAATGCCCCTCCCCCAAAGACGTCCATGTCTTAATGTCTGGAATCTATGAATATGTTCCGTTAAATGGCACAGGGGAATTAAAGTTGCAGATGGAATTAAGGTTGCTAATCAGCTGACCTTAAGATAAAACAATTATCCTGGATTATCCAGGTGGACCCAATATAACACCAAAGTCCTTTAAAGAAAGAGGGAGGTGGAAGAGCGAAATGATGTTATGTGATGAGGACTCAGCCCACCCTTGCTGAACCTCTAGGATGGAACAAAGGGCTACCAATGCCTTGATTTTAGCCCAGTAAACCCCATGTCAGACTTCTGACCTACAGAACTCTAAGATGGTAAGTCTGTGTTGTTTTAAGCCATTAAGTTTGTGGTTATTTGTTATAGTAGCAAAAGAAAACTAATACAGTTGCTATGGCAAAAATATCTTTTTTAAAGCTAAAACTTAGAATTTGTATACTTTTAATAAGAAATGTCAATAAATTCTCATGATTAAATTTTTACCTCTGACTGTATCTATAACCTGTAACTTGCTTCCTTCTGCATTGAGATTTCTTCATAATGTGAGAATCAAACTTGATGAGTCCTTAAACAGTTACTATGACCATCAGCATTACATTCAATGTGTATTTATATGTCAATTTCTAAATTAAACATAAAATTAGCATATATACTTAAAAACCTAGTAAAAAGAATTATGTACAAGGTAAAATAGTGATAATCATATTTTAGCTATGCTTCTATGCACATTCTATCAGAATCATCACATTAAGATATGAAGTCCAGTAGTACTCTGAAATGATGTGATACACACGGACTAGTCATCATTTTGAGCACGGTAGCTTAAAAAAAACAAAAAAAGTCTAAGGGCACCTGGGTGGCTCAGTGGGTTAAGCGTCTGCCTCCGACTCAGGTCATGATCCCAGAGTCCTGGGATCGAGTCCCACAGCAGGCTCCCTGCTGCTTCTCCCTCTCCCTCTTCCTGCCACTCTGCCTACCTGTGCAAGCTCTGTCAAAGATGAAATAAAATCCTTAAAAAAAAAATCTATATGCTTAATAAAAATTAGGTGTCTAGAACGCTTATCTTCCACTTTTTTGCCTGACAAAGTCCTACTCAGTTCAAATATCACCTCTTCTAGGACACATCTTCGCCACCTTTCTCAGGCAGTCAACTGTTCCATCTGCAAAGCTCCACAGCCTTTTATTCATTTTGTTTTCTAATTCATCTGTTTACAGATCTCTCCTCACGAATTGTCCTTCCTCAGCCCAGTTGATGATCCTCCCAGAGAAGAGACAATGTCTTATTCTTAGTTTCCTCAGAATCCAGTACAGTGTTAGGCACATGGTAACCTGTTAAATTTTTTTAAGGTTCATGAGTGGGTTCTCTACTTTATGTTGATCTAATATACTAGAAAGGAAAGTCTGAGTAATGTCCTTAACCTGTGTGATCTGAGAATCTTTACTAAAAACATTCTAAGTTCCCGGTTTTGAATCAAGGCAACTTTGACATCTAACTAATGTTCCCAAACAGAAAAACAGGTAAGTTTGTGAGGAATCAAAACCCAGTAACAAGAGCTTTACTAGATGAAAATATGTCCACTGATAATAATGCAAACAATATTCCCTAAATAAATGAGATGAATAAAACTTGTCTAATAAATAGTACACAGGTTGCTCTAACATTTAGTTATTTCTTACAACAATTGAATCAAAGTCTTTCCCAGAAAATCCATGCCAACAACCTGACAAGCCTGTGGTTTATATTGCAGGGTTTACCACAATTTGGGATTGTGAAGTTCTCTATCCTTTGATGCCAATACAAATCTTAAAAGGCCTTTAAGTGAAAACAAAGAGCCAGGAAAAGGATGCTATCATTTTCCCCCGTTCTTCTGCCAAAACCAAAAGGCTACCCAGATGTACATAATTCAAGGTTCTTACCCCTTCAAACCTCTCCATGGGGGCTGATTTCCTTGGTGGCCCCAACCCTTCTGGACCATGTGAATGGCAGAACAGCAGCTGCTACCTTTCACTGACCGTTTATTATGTGTGAAGCATTTCGGCATATACTTCTACAGCTAAGCCTCACAACCGTACACAGGATTCTATTTTACAGGTGAGGCTCAGTAAAGTTACAGTGATTGACCAAGGCCTCACAACTAGTGGCAGAACTTGAGAAAAACAACAGATTTTAAACATCCAGATGTATATGAAGAGAGGTGGTATCATGTCACACCAAGGGAATACGAAATAACCCTTTACATTTAAATATGGAATGATTATGGCAAGCTGTTTATCTTCATTTTGTTTTTTTTTCTTTTTTGCTTAGGTCAAAATGAGAAATTGGTTTACATTTTCTGTGCAAACCTTATCAGTAGGCCATCCCAATAGTGTATAAGGTGACAGAACAGACCAAATTTCTACAATTTTTAAATGTTTTTCACTCCACAGAGAATAATTCACACCTGATAATTAAGTGCATAACACACTTAAACTGATTAGTTTAACCTCAGATTTTAAAGAAGTCCATAATTTCTGGGCGCCTGGGTGGCTCAGTTGGTTGGGCGACTGCCTTGGGCTCGGGTTATGGTCTGGGAGTCCTGGGATCGAGTCCCGCATCGGGCTGCCGGCTTAGTGGGGAGCCTGCTTCTCCCTCTGACCCTCTCCCCTCTCATGCTGTTTCTCTCTCTCTCTCTCAAATAAATAAATAAAAATCTTAAAAAAAAAAAGAAGTCCATAATTTCTTTTAAACCAATGTAACTCCTCCTTTATGAACAACTCTCTACCCTTATGTCACTGGCAGAACCGACTACTAGAGTGGCAAAATCATGGAGGTAGGGAGAAAGACTTCCCATCTGCTCGTGTAACTAAGCATCTTTTCCTGCTTTCTTATGGAAAGAAATTTTAAAACTTAGCCAATAATCAAACTGTTTCAATGAATTTTCATGATTCCTGAGAATCACGGAGGTCTCATCCTACAATTTTAAGTTGAGTACTACCAGAATACAAGAGAAATTTCCAGCATTTACAACATTTAGTAAGAGCCCTCAAAGCACTGCCATTTTTTTTTTAAATCTTTTTTTTTTAAGATTTTATTTTATTATTTATTTTAGAGAGAGAGAATGAGAGATAGAGAGCACGAGAGGGAAGAGGGTCAGAGGGAGAAGCAGACTCCCCGCAGAGCAGGGAGCCTGATGTGGGACTCGATCCCGGGACTCCAGGATCATGACCTGAGCTGAAGGCAGTTGCTTAACCAACTGAGCCACCCAGGCGCCCAAGCACTGCCATTCTTAATAAACCAGAATGTTAATTTATTAATATACAATGAAAAATATCAAGTGGGCAAAAATACTAAAATGAATATGTAAGTGGACCCCCCTTTCAGGCAAAAAGGTTCCTATGGACAGCAGCATTTTAAGATTCACATTTGTTGGGCGCCTGGGTGGCTCAGTCGTTAAGTGTCTGCCCTCGGCTCAGGTCATGATCCCAGGGTCCTAGGATCGAGTCCCATATCAGGCTCCCTGCTCTGCAGGAAGCCTGCTTCTCCCTCTTCCACTCCCCCCTGCTTGTGTTCCTGCTTGTGTTCCTGCTCTCGTGCTCTGTCAAAAAAAAAAAAAAAAAAAAGGATTCACATTCGTTTTACTCCAATCTCTTTTTAAATTTTTTTTTTTTTGAGAGAGCACGTGCGCCCGGGTGTGTGTGGGGGGGGTGCAGAGGGAGAGGGAGAGAATCTTAAGCAGCCTCTATACCCAGCATGGTGCCCGAAGTGGGGTTCTATCTTACCACCCTGAGATCATGACCTGAGCCGAAATCAAATGTCAGAGGTTTAACCTACTGAGTCACCCAGGCGCCCCTCCAATATCTCCTTAATATCCATCCCCTCTTCCCCACCCACCTTCCCACATTTCTCTACTATAATGGCTTTCAAGCTTTGATCAATGTCCATAGGAAGAAATGCACTTGCATTAGTCTACATGTAGGAATATAACTCAAACAAAAGTTTCAGAAAACATTTCTTACTGCTAGTACATGTGATACACTCTAATATTATCTTTTCTATTGTTTTTTTATTTTTTATTTTTTAAATATTTTTTATTTATTTGAGAGAGAGAGAATGAGAGAGAGCACGAGAGGGAAGAGGGTCAGAGGGAGAAGAAGACTCCCTGCTGAGCAGGGAGCCCAATGTGGGACTCCATCCCGGGACTCCAGGATCATGACCTGAGCCGAAGGCAGTCGCTTAACCAACTGAGCCACCCAGGCGCCCTCTATTGTTGTTTTTTTTTTTTAATGCACACTACCACAGGCACGATCTTAGGTTTGAAAAATGCTGATCTACTCTAGATACCTCTATGACCATTATTAATTCATCTTCCATATTACCACTTAACAACATAAAATGTCAATCTATTTTACTCATCTGCTTAAAATACATAAAACGTTCCCTCTGCCTTATTTGTAAAATACATAAATTAATTTTTCTTTAATTCAGCCATTCATTTACTCAGCAGCTATTTATTGAGAACCTACTGAATGCTAGGTACTGTGCTATACATTGGTACATGGGTCCAACATAGGTCCTAACATTGTAAAGTCTACAATCCAGCTAAGACAGTTACTACAAAAATATTACATACTCTTTAGGAGTGCTCTTATCTACCTCTCCAACTTAATTCATTCCCCTCCTTCACTTTTACCACATTGCTATAGCTATTCTGATTTGCACACAGGTCCTAGAAAAACCACATACTTTGGCCATTGTCCACAATGTTCCTTCTGATTAGAACGTCCTTCTTTCCTTTAATCATCTCACACATTCCTCTTCAGCCTTCAAGAATCAAGTGTCTCCTCTAGCAACAGTTCTCCACTCCCTTTCCATGCCCTTTCCGTTGTCACTCCTCTCTTGTCATCATGTATAGGTCACATTCCTCCATTATAAAGCTGGTCACATTGTTTTAAGTTGTTAGTCTTGCCTAGACTATGAGTTATCTTTGTACCCACAGCACAGTTTATTGCTCACAGAATAAATTAACGTTTACTGTAATTGTATATGGGTCAATAACTCCATTATGCTGATTACCCAATGTTTGAAAACATATTTTTCTAGATATTTACAGTAAATATATATTTATTTTAAGGACTTTCTTTTTAAAGTCTTATTTCAATATGTGGATGTTTTTCCTTCATTAAAAATTTGCTCAGCAGCAGCCAGTTTGACTTGGGATATTTGTCTTGAAATTGATCCAATGAATATTCTCAATTTCAATAACTACTCTGGCAAGAAAAAGCATATAGGATTTCCAAAATCAATACATTAGGTCAGTGTCTGCAGCACAGCACAGTTCATACAGGCAGGGCAGTATTACGCCATGTGTTTCCATTTCTCAATGCTAATCATTTTTGATTTGAAGATAAACTGTCAGATGCCATTAATCTGTTTACTAACTCCCACCATCCCCCACAGAGGGTTTTACATTGTTCTTTTCCAATAATCTCAGGAAATTTTGGTACAGCAGAAGGACTTCTTAAATAAGCAACCTTTAAATAGGTCATTGTTATATGAGTAGCATCAAATACATACTGAACTCATGCAGGGTATATCCTATGGTTCTCTGTCCACTTCACCTTTTATCACTTTTCCAGTTAAGACTCAGATCTCCCCATTTCCACTTTTAGGATTCTAAATCTGTTTGGGAATCTCTATTTTTCTAAATTTCATCATCGTTAAACATTTTCATTCATTCCCATTGCTAACACTGAAGTTCAAATCCAAACTGGTCTTAGGGAGCCCTGTGTACAATCCGCATATGAGGGACCCACATGCCCACATGGCAACGGGCAGCTAAGGGGCAAATGTTTCAAGCACTCACCGGCCCTTTCCATGCCAAATACAGGTTTTCTTTGGACATCATCAAATATCTCAAGTTGAGATTTACATTTCTTATGATTATATAATGTTTCACGTCTGTTTTGCCTCTAATAGAATACAGCCCTTAAAATAATTGAGTTGTTCCCTTTTTAAAATTCTTATTACCTTGAACACAAAACGATATTAAGTGTTACCAATAAAAGAGTATTTTGGACATTGAAGATGATCCCAAAATGATTAAGAATCTGCACAGGCTTTCGGGAAACGTGGTTTCCTACCAACTTGGAAAAGCTACAGTAATCTATTTGTTTTCCAGAGTATATGTATTTGGGCACAGCTCTTAAGAAAGGTACTAAAATAAATTTTATGCCATTTTTGCTTAGGTGGTCTTTCATTTCTAATGAGAAATATAAATCATTTGAATACAGTACGTCTGCCGGAAAGGACTTACCCCACGCCTCTCCAGAGTATTTGACAAAGCCTAGACACTCCTTGCGACTTTCAGTTTGAACCCTACTTTTATATCTTGGATTTTATTCCATAAAAGAGGAGTTTTAATTTCACTCTTGGGGAGTAGCTATCGTGCCCTTCTCTGATCCATTCTCTGGTTAACCATTCGCCAGGTTTGGCAGCGGCAAGGGACCAGCAACCTTACCAAAACCTTACTGTGGTACAACGGTAAGCTCACAACCCTGCCTAGAATGATGTAAATTTTAAAACATTGCTTACAGAGTATTTCCTTTTTAAGGAAAAAAACAACGAAACTTCCCTCTGAACCCATTTTGCCGACGCCTGCCTGTCAGCACATATCCCGCATTCCCAGTATCACCCAATTCAACAATATTCTCCTTTCCTTCCCCCACCCCAATTCCTCCAGGGGGCGCCCCCGACACCGGGGTGGGCCCCCACCCGCAGCCCGAGGCGGGAGCCCAGCTTCGGATCCGGACTCGCGCAACCCCCGCCCCACACTCACCCGCCGGACGACAAGGAAGTGCGGCCCTGCCCCGCCCCTTCCGCCGGACAGAGTTCGCCCCGCCCCGCGCTGGCCGCGGCGCGCAGGCGCAGGGCTCACTGCCGGACGCGAGAAGCCCAGGGGCGCCCGGGGGCCGGACGGAGGCATGGGGCGGGGCCAGGGTCTCGGCGGACGTGGCCGCGGAATTCCGGCGTGTGTGGAGGACGCGTGTGCGTGAAGGCCTGCGGTCCTGCGTCGGGGGTGGGAAGTCGGTGGGGCGCCGGGAAGCTGCCGGGAAGTGAAGGGGGGGAAGGTAGTTTACGGCTTTCGGGTAGCTTTTCTTCGGGTCCCTATTCGGTCATCTGCCTCCAAAGCTGGAGGGCAACATTCATACCCTTACGGCCTTGGCGCGTTGAGAAGTCCGGGAGACGGAGCCAGAGTGCAGCCCCGGGGCCCCGCGGCATCGGCGGGCCGCAAGTGCAGACCCCTTTTTTCCAATCCCAGAAGCTTCGAGTGTGGGGTAGAGGGCGAGACGTAGGATGTTTGACAAACGGTAACAGCAGGAAGACCCCAAAACTTCGCAAAGCCATTTCCAGCCTATTGGAATAAATGCTCAATCGAAATAGAGCTCAAGTGTTTAAGCCATGGCATAGTTTTTTTTTTTCTCTTAAAAGTTACCATTCGTATTAACATTTTAACTTGTACCAAAAGTAAGGACCCGCGACTGCCCTCGGAAACTCACCGAAGGGGAGAGGCTCCCGGTTGAAATGGAGATGAAAACGAACATGCTTAGTATTTGCGACCCCACTGCGGGACTGGAATGATAATGATAACTACTTTTGAAAATCTGTTGGATTATATAATAAGTAGTAAAACCTGAGTTTTACCTGAGTTCTAGGATTTTTAGGGGAAACTCAAGTCTCCCAAATGTATGCTGTGATGTGATAAAGACAGCACCAATAGGCATTAAATATAGCAAGGATCAAATTATGGCAAATAGAAATGGTCCTAACTGGGGGCTATATTATAATTAGTATCTGGAGCCAAGACCACAATCAGCCCCCTCCCCATGATAAGCATACTTGAATGCATTTGTGAGGGGTTAGGCCTTCCTCAAGTACTTGGTATGGGTTTGTTCTTGTTGGGACATAGAAGAATAAAAAATAATGAACTGTTGGTTTTCATTACTGTCTTCGTTAGTATTCAGACTAAAAGACAACCACTTTTACCCCAATTGTAATTGACCCAAGTATAGTAAATTACGGAAAACTAAACAAGTCTTAAGTGAAGTAGAGGGCCTAGTGGAAAACATGGAAGTAGATCTGGTTTCAAATCTCAGCTCCTGAACACTGTAAATACAATAAGGATAAAAACTTGGTAGAAGTTACTTCATTTCTTTAAGTTTGGAGTTATTCATCTGTACAATAGTTTGTGTTTTGTTTTTTATTTTTTGGTATTAAATTTTATGAAAGCCCTGTTTGCATTACCTAAGGAAATGAGGAAAATTTGTTCATTTAAAAATGATTTTTAATCCTTACCTGGTTTTTATTCTACAAACTGTTAAACACTTTAGTTCATTTCACCTTTTTTTTTTTAATCCAGGTGTTTCCTAAACTGTTCTATGGAACATTAGTCCATTGCAAAACGTTAATAGATGCTTCGTGGAAAAATTTTCCAGCATCAGTACTGGGAAAACACATACCTGTTGCTGTGAGGTTATTGCACGTACATCCATGTAGCATTCTTGCCAAAAACATTTAGTCTGAATCTGTGAGGAACACTTGGATAAATTCACAATGTGATTTATTTGGACTTTTCAGTATAAGGTCGAGGCACAGAAGAAGTAAAAAAAGGACCAGTTTGCAGGTAGGGCAACTGAACTGGATAGGATCGTGGATTTTTTAAGTTTTAGAAGAATTTTGTGGACAAGTGAGGAAATTTGAACATGGAAGCAAAATTAGATATATTGTTGACTTAAGTTTCTCAGGTATGATAAATTGTGTTTATTACAAGAATGCTTTTGTTCTTAGGAGGTGCATGTTCAAGTCTTTAGGGGAGAGATCATGATATCTGTATGGGAACTTCTTTCAGATAGTTCAGGCCAAAAAAAAGTATGTATGTAAAGAGAAAACAGCCCTGTGTTAATTATGGTTCTAGGTGAAGAGTATATGAATGTTTTTTCAACTCTTCTACAGGTTTGATATTTTTAAAAATTAAAAGTTGGCAAAGAAATTATAGCTAGCAGCTACTAGTTTTCCTTTTTTTTTCCCTAATTAGCAATTACTTTAAAATATACTGGTAATGCTTATTTATAGGAAAATACAAAATTCATTATATACTAGTTTTCTTATAATCTGACCTTGAGAAATGGTGTGCCATGTCTAAGAACTGTAGGAAACTGAGAAATTACCTCATTCTTAAAGGCATAATATTGAATCTACACTGAGGCCTATTCACTGAGTAATGTTCAGGTACATCATCCAGTGACCCCTGCTCTATGCTGTGTATGTTGCGTTAGAATTTTAACAATATTAATGAATTCTTTGTAATCTGTTAATAGTTTTTAAAACGTTCGTTTTTTCCTAGAAATATTTCTTTACTGCTGTGTGCCCAGGCACTGTACTAGGTTCTAGAGATAAAGCTGCCATCAGTAATGTACAGATAAAGTTCCTGCCCACACACAGTTTACATTTGGGGAACAAGAAAGAACACAGAGTACAAGCAAATACCCATCAAATGATAAGTGCTATGTAGAATAATAAACTAGGGTTTAGAGGTTAGGGGACACCAGGTAAGGGTGGGCAAATACTATTTTTATACAGAGTGAACAAAGAAGACCTCACTGAGAAGGTGACAGTTGAGCAGAGATCTGAAGGAAGGGAAGGAGTGGGTTGTGGATATCTAAGTCAGGTGCGGACTGAGAAGGGGACAGCATGCTTGGCATGTTTCAAGAATAGCAAGGAGACCAGAGTGAATGAATGATCGTAAAAAAGAGAGTTGTAGTCGATGAGGTCAGAGAGGTAGCCAAGGCCAGATTATATAATACGCTTTCAGAGATGTTTTAGCTCCTTTTTAAATAGAATTGTCTGGGAAGCCTTTGCTGTAGTGCTAGTATATGTAGAACATAGTAGCTGCCAGCTGTTTTGTATTCGTTTTCTATTCCACAAACTCGGTGGTTTAAAAGAACGCAGATTTATTATAATTCTGTAAGTCTGAAGTCCAACACAGGTCTCACTGGGGTAAAATCAAGATATCAGCTGACTGCATTCCTAGAGAGGACAGAATCCTCTCTAGGGAAGGCTCTGTTGCTTTTGCCTTTCCTGCTTCTAGAGGCCACTTACATTCTTTAGCTTGTGGCCCCTTTCTGTCTTCAAAGCCATTAACATTGGTCAAAGATTCTCCACTGTTCAGGATTCCTGTGATTAAATTGGGCAAACCCAGATAATCCAGGATAATCTGTCCATATCAAGGTTCTTAACCTTAATCACATCTGCAAAATCCCTTTATCCTTATAAGATAACATTCACAGATTCTGGCAATTAGGGTGTGAACATCTGGAGAGGCATTCTTACCACAGTCCATCCTCCGACCCCCAAAGATTTCATGTCTGTTCACATGCAAAATCTCACCCCCCTTTCTCAGTCCCCCCCAGTTCTCAACATATCACAGCATTTCATCTAAATTTCAAAGTTCCCAAACCTCATGTAAATTATTTATAGGTAAGGCTCTGAGTACAATCCATCCTGGGGCAAAGTCCCTTTCCATTTATAGACTGGGAAATGAGAAAACGAGATGTCTGCTCCCAAAATGCAAGGGAAGAGGAGGCACAGGAGAGTAATTGTAGCCATTCGCATTCACAAAGGGAGAGGTGGAAGGAAAAAAGTAGTCACCAGTCCCAGACAATTTCAAAATCCAATCAGGCAGCCTCTATTAGTTTCAAGGCCAAGGAATAATCTGTGGTTCTTGGTTCTGCTCTCTGGGCTCACAGGTCCACTCTGGGCACTGCGGATCACAGCATGGCTATCCTTGTGGGGGCTATTATTAGGACCATCACAAGCATCGTTATTAGATTTAATATTATTTTTTTACTAATCTTCATTCAGTAGTGGTTCCTTAGCTCTTAAATTTCTCCATTAGCCCCAGTCAAGAGGTTAATTACCTTTACACAAATACACAATCAGTACTTGAGAAGCTCACCATTTTAAGGAACTTTATTGTACATCATTTCATGGTATATGCAAATATCCCATCTAATTTCTCTTAGATGAAAAATAATGCACTCCAAATTTTATACACAGACCATATTTTCTTTACCTGCAGTTAATTAATTCTAAAATTCTTGATTTCTGAAAAAATAAAATAAAAATAAAATTATTGATTTCTTTCAGGCGCAAGGGTACCTATATTATCCTTCATTTTATGGGATAGGCAAAGTTTTACAACTTCTAAGGTCATCGCCCTTGCCCTTTAAGGACACTGGAAACTCATTTCTGCCTCCCAGCAGGTGGCAGCAAATCAATATTCAATAAGGTGCAGTAAACTTATAATTTTCTTGTCCTGATAAACGTTCTGAGTGTTGCAGACTGTGGCTATTCTTAGCTAGAAGAGCAAAAAGACTATTGTTACCAGATTGTAGGAATTTATATCGGTGTATCAACTACTTGGGAGAATGTACTTATGTGACTAAATTTTATTATGTAGTTATATTAATATTAATTGTCTCTCACAGAACCCTAAGTCCATTTGTAAGCAGTTTTGTTGGAATAACAATAATGCTTATATGTTCTCTCCATAGATAATAATTCCCCATTGCCATTATTAGGCTAATATTCATCAACACAACACAGCCTTCAAAATTTATGGGATACAGATATGGTATTCTTAGAGGAAATATGTATAGCTCTTTTATTCCTTTATTAAAAAAGAACAGTTAATGATCTAAGTCAAGGTCAGCAAAATGATCCATGGGCCAAATGTGGGGCAGAGCCTGCTTTTGTACACCCTACAGATCTCTTAACAGAGCTCATTTAAAAATAGAGACAAATTACCAGTGTCTGGAATGAAAGATCACTAAAGATCTTACAGACATTAAAACACTGGCT